GGAGAGGTCCAGAGAGGAGAGGTATATCTGAGTGTCATCAGCGTACAGGTGGTATTGGAATCCAAATGAGGTAATATGTTTGCCAAGAGAGGCAGTATAAAGAGAAAATAAAAGGAGACCAAGTACAGAGTCTTGGGGGACTCCAACAGAGACAGGATGAAAGAGACACTGAATGAGTGTTGGGAGAGAAAGGAGGAAAACCAAGAGAGGTGTGGGGATATTTAATGGGATGATAATATTATACAGTTAAGAACTGCCCACTATTTTAATTCTCTTAGATCTTAGAGATCGTTATCATGTAAGTGAAATGTATTCCATACAAATAAAATCACAATTTGTTATAAAAAGAGATATAATTTATTGTGACAAATAAAAATAATAATAATATTAGGCAGCATGCATGATAACAATCAGGGAATGTTTAGTATAACATAAGTTTGCAATACAATGGCAATATTAACCCCTTCAGGACCGAGGACGGTTCAGGACCGTCACTGGCATTTTTGCGTTGCCGACCTGAACCGTCCTAATGATCCAATGTTTTTACCTGATCGCCCCCGGCGTCGATTGGTGTTGCTCCTGTTGTGGGGAGACTGCCAGCAGCCCAGACAGTCTCCCCATGGCGGATTAGGACTCCTGTGATCATGTGATCGCTCAGCAGAGCGATCACATGGTCACAATAGGTGTCCATGTGTCTGTCTGCAGGGGGACTGTCTGTGCTGACAGGCAGTCTCCCTGCTAGTGTAAAATCATAAAAAAAATTAAAGTTAAAGTTAATTAAAAAAAATTATATATGTATATATATATATATATATATATATATATATATATATATATATGATATATAGACATATATTATGTATATAATATATGTCTATATAGATCATATATATAATGTCATAATAAGTGTATTTTTATATTAATATGTACATATATTAATATAAAAATACACTTATAATTAAATTACACACGTATATATATATATATATATATATATATATATATATAAAAAGCTGAATCAATAGGTTGCACTCACGGATTCTTAAAACATAGCTTTTATTGTATACTCCTAAAAAATCGACGTTTCAGTCCTATTCAAGGACTTTCATCAGGATTATAAAGACATAACATAACAATTCAGCCATATATAGGATGCAGTAAATTACAATAACTCACCACAGATGTCATGAAAAAACCGGCGTCCCAGCCGGGAATGTGCGCATGTGCAGAATAGTCCCTCCCCTCGGCGTGACACGCAACGCCGCCGTTACCATAGTAACGCGGCTAACATATACTATACTGAAACCGGCATCTAAGCCGGAAGTATGCCGTGATGCGGAGAAGTTCCGCCCCCCAATGTGACGTCACATATACGCCGCCGTCGTTACCATAGTGATGCGGCTGTGAATAAAAAATACAACAAACCTATATGGAAACAAACTTATCAAAGTAATGACCTAGATGTGAACACCAAGGCTTTTATAGAATGTACCAAATTTGGTAAAGACAAGTGTGAATGTGATCTATGTATATTAATAGAGTGCTAATGGGTCATTTAAAGTGCCATCAGAATAATCTCTTAAAGTGCCATGTACGTGCAAAATATTTAAAGTGCCACAGTGCTAATGTAAACATATTGTGACCCAATACAGTTTGTATGAATATTTACATTTAAATAACCCCAATGATTAGAGATTAATATTAATCAATCAAAAAAAGTATATACATATAGTTATATAAGGCTTTTTTACACAACTTTCGATCTTTTTCTTTCTGCTCCTCTGTCACATAGCAAATATATATATATTATTATTTTACTGAACAATTGTTGCAACAGCACTATTGTATTCTGCGTCAAAGATTATTGAACACATTTTAAAACAATAACTCTTAATGCTTGCAAAATATACGTGGTCAATTGTGTAATAATGGGACGGTCGCAGAATAATCGTGAAAATTGCATATAGAAAAACCTAAAATACACACAAATATAAAATCACATATTAAAAAAGCATTGAGGGGCATTCAGGCCAAAAATGAATGTAACAACAAGGATTCATTTAGTCCTTTTGGAGACACAGTGTCCAACTCATGGATCCAATAAGCTTCTCTATTGAGTAGCATCCTCCCCCTATCCCCCCCTCTTCTAGGGTTAGGGATGTGGTCAATGGCCACAAATTTCAATGTAGCCAATGGGTGCTTCAATTCAAGGAAGTGTTTTGCAACCGGTTTATCTGTAGAACCGTCACGATATACCAGTCTTATAGAAGATCTATGTCCCCTAATTCGTTCGCAGATGGCCGTCTCTGTTTTCCCAATGTAATATAAGCCACACGGACAAGACAATTTGTATATTACATGTGTCGTCTTGCAAGTGATGGTATATCGAATAGTGTATTTTCTATTATTATGTGGATGAAAAAAAGTTCTTGCAGGCATCATGTGGCTACAGGTCACACAGCCAAGACAGCGAACCGATCCTCTTATTTGTTCCTTCGCTATATTTGAATAGCTTTGAGAGGGATCCGTACATACTAGCATGTCCTTTAGGTTTCTGTTTCTCTTGTAACAGATTAACGGTTTCTCTTTGAACACTTTCGGGAGCGTGTCATCACTCGACACTATCCTCCAATTCTTCCTAATGACCGATGCCACTTGAGGGGTAGACTGATTGTATACCATAGGGAAGACAAAATTAAGAGGTTTCTTCTTTGTTTCGGTAGCGCGTGCATTCAATGCTTCTTGTAGCGCTGTTTCCAACATACATTCATCATAACCTCTTTGAAGAAATTTGTTTTTCATTTCAGAAATCTGAACATCCCTAATTGCTACTTCCGAATTGTTCCTGATTACTCTTAGGAATTGTGCCTTTGGTAGTGAGTTCTTCAAAGCCCTGGGATGTGCACTCTGATAATGGAGGAGTGTATTCCTATCTGTGGGTTTTGTATAAAGGGAATATTGAAAATGTGTTGCTCCCAATGAAATTTCCAAATCCAAATAATGCACCTTCTCTGTGCTAATATCCGCCGTGAATCTTACTGGTGTTGGTAAAAGATTGAGGTCTTGAACCATTTCATGGGCTGATTCACAAGTTCCACTCCATATGATGAACAGGTCGTCGATAAATCTATAGTACGCTATTATATTGCTTTGATATTTCTCCAATATGTGTTCCTTCTCATACACATACATGTATGCATTAGCGTACATCGGCGCCATAGATGCGCCCATTGATGTGCCAGCCACTTGTAGATACCAGCTATTTTCAAAACGAAAATAATTGTTCTGTAAAGTTAAAGAAAGTAGTTCCAAAACATACTCTATAGGGGGGCCATGATACACAGGAGATTGGATCAAAACTTGCCGCATAGCTTCTACCCCAGCATCATGTGGTATCACTGTGTATAGACTATGTACGTCCATTGATATTAAAACTGGTCTATAATTACCATAAGATAATTCATTGATTTTAGTGATGAGAGTTTGAGAGTCTTTAATGCAGGTAGATAGTTCTCCAACTGGACCTTGGAACAAATAATCGAGCCATTTTGCAATAGGCTCTAAAACGCCATCAATGGCTGACACTATAGGGCGTCCTGGCGGTGATTTTGGATTTTTATGAATTTTTGGAATTGAATATATGATAGGTGTGCGAGGGCATATCTTAATGAGATATTGATATAATTTGGAATCAATAAAGCCCGATCTCAGGCCCATTGATAGAACATCTTCAATTTTACTCTGAATATTACTAGTGGGATCCCTATCCAACAATATATAAGTAGTCCTATCAGATAACTGCACATTCAGATCTTTAGCGTAGTTTACGTAGTCCATGATGACAATTCCACCTCCCTTGTCAGCCGAACGGATGACTATTGATGGATCTGTTGCTAGTCCCTTTATAATTTTCCTTTGTTGTTTCGTAATATTGTGTTTCATTTTATGTTCACGTTGCATATGGGTTTGAACTTCTTTATTGGTCATAGTGAGGAAAGTCTTAATGGACGCCTTATTGGATATAGGGTCAAATGTGGACTTGGCCCGAAAAACATCTGTAACTACTGTACTACATTCCACTGTGTTGGAAAAAAATTCTTTCAACCTCATAGTTCGCCCAAACTTATGTAATTCTATCTTCCATTTGAAAACATCAGCCTTAGATGTAGGCACAAATGAGAGGCCTTTACTAAGGAGTTCTATCTCAGTTGTATCAAGGGGCCTTTGAGAGAGATTAAATATAGGGATTGCTTCCTGCGTGGGGGTTTCCCCTGTACAGGTGTTCTTTCCTTTGCGGCCTCGCCTCGTTCTTGGTCTACGTCGCCCCTGAACCGGCTCCTGGTTGTTGTACCTGCTTCGTCTGTGGCTAAAAAAAGTGCTTTTGAAGTTTCCGTGATACTTCTAGTATCTGAATCAGAGGCTGACTCTCCTGAGGTTACATCCACTGTTGGGACCCTAGGTCGCTGTATTCTTCTACGTTGTGTCCTAGGTCTATTGGCTCTAATGTTGCCAGTGAGCCAACCATAGACTCTGTGTTCCAAATAGTCTTGTGTGACTTTTTCAAACTTCTGTTTTTTAAATCTCACTAATTCCATTTTATATTTCAAAACTTCCTCTTTAAGTTTTTGTATGGTCTTTAATCCTTCAGGTGTAGCCAATAATGTTGCATATTCAGTCTCTAATTCAGTAATTTTTAAATTAGTGTCAATCAGATCTGCCTTCACATCTCTAATAATGATGAGCATTAGATCAAGTGATGCTCTATTCAACACTTGCGTCCATTCTCTGCAAATAGTGGCTTTAGACCTTCCTATAGTGGGAACATTTAATATTCTGAATCCCCTAGGGATACGTTTAACTCTGTAATAATCCGAAAGGAAAAGACCATGCAGATCCAGGTCAATTTGTTTCCTACGTAAGCGTAATAGCTTAAAATATATGTCTTTAGTGGTAAGCTGATATGGAAGTTCTGAGCTAGACTGATGCCACAATATGTCATCCGCTTCTTCTTTGGAAAAATATAATGTCTCTGCCTGTTCTGAATATGCCCCCGCCTGTACTAAAAACTCATCCATAATGAAAAAAGTTTGCAGAATAAATTGTATGAAATTGGCTACTATGGCTTTAAATTGCTGGAATACTCAGTACAGCAATATGTAAATACAAAAAATTTTTTTCTATATTGGTTGGTGCATAGGTTGGGGTGAAATGAGCCCACACCCCTACATACAAAGAAAAAAGCACTATACCTTGCACTCAAACTCCATGTGTCCAAACCGGGTGCACTCCCAGGGCTCCAAATATCCAAAAAGCTGAATCAATAGGTTGCACTCACGGATTCTTAAAACATAGCTTTTATTGTATACTCCTAAAAAAATCGACGTTTCAGTCCTGTTCAAGGACTTTCATCAGGATTATAAAGACATAACATAACAATTCAGCCATATATAGGATGCAGTAAATTACAATAACTCACCACAGATGTCATGAAAAACCCGGCGTCCCAGCCGGGAATGTGCGCATGTGCAGAATAGTCCCTCCCCTCGGCGTGACACGCAACGCCGCCGTTACCATAGTAACGCGGCTAACATATACTATACTGAAACCGGCATCTAAGCCGGAAGTATGCCGTGATGCGGAGAAGTTCCGCCCCCCAATGTGACGTCACATATACGCCGCCGTCGTTACCATAGTGACGCGGCTGTGAATAAAAAATACAACAAACCTATATGGAAACAAACTTATCAAAGTAATGACCTAGATGTGAACACCAAGGCTTTTATAGAATGTACCAAATTTGGTAAAGACAAGTGTGAATGTGATCTATGTATATTAATAGAGTGCTAATGGGTCATTTAAAGTGCCATCAGAATAATCTCTTAAAGTGCCATGTACGTGCAAAATATTTAAAGTGCCACAGTGCTAATGTAAACATATTGTGACCCAATACAGTTTGTATGAATATTTACATTTAAATAACCCCAATGATTAGAGATTAATATTAATCAATCAAAAAAAGTATATACATATAGTTATATAAGAGAAACCGTTAATCTGTTACAAGAGAAACAGAAACCTAAAGGACATGCTAGTATGTACGGATCCCTCTCAAAGCTATTCAAATATAGCGAAGGAACAAATAAGAGGATCGGTTCGCTGTCTTGGCTGTGTGACCTGTAGCCACA